TTGTTTTGTGTCTAGCTTGGCTGCTGCGGATTTGCTAGTCGGTCTAGCGGTTATGCCACCGGCTGTCCTGTTACAGGTATGCATGTATTTGTCAGGAGATAAAATGCAATAAACGAGAGTAAAATGTCCAATTCATCTTCGGTAATAAGTTCTGAACTTTCGTGTCATTACAATATGAATCCTATTAATTATCGCAATTGGTATGCATTATTAACGAGGAAAAATAAATTATTGGAAAATAACGACACTCATTCTCGTACAAATTGCATTTTCATACATCTTATCAAATGGGATATTCATTGAAGCTTACAGGAGGGACTTGGGAATTAGGCGAAATACTGTGCGATTTCTGGGTATCCCTTGATATTCTACTCTGCACAGCCAGCATTCTCTCGTTATGCGCCATTTCTATAGACAGGTAAACCCGATCATACGCATTTCTAAATCTTCTCACGTAGGTAACGTAATTACCGGAAAGCCATCCTGTCAACCGTTCAATCTTTTGTAGAATGATAGGTTATTCGATTATTAAAAAAGAGATTTTATGCGACGTAAATTCTCTAATGTCCGGACTTTATGGGGGTTTCTTGATAAAAATCAGCGGCAACAGCGGATGGATTTTTAACGAGAAAGTTCATTTACATAAAAAGTATTCTGTATTATGTTGATTTTATTAAACGAGTCAACATTGCTCATCGTCAATGAGAGCAATTCTTCCTTATCTTGTACATTCTTTTTTTTTCTGTAGTTTCTTTCGCCTTCTTCTGGATTTCCCATCTTATATAGAAAGGCCAAAGTACCACGCTTTATTCTCTGTAGTTATACATGCATGATATATAGAAATATAAACATTTCTGTTTTATTATTTATATATTATTATATATAGGTATAGATATAATTATTATTAATTTATTTATATATTATAAAAAAACAATTACTTAAAATAAAGATTTATAATTTAATAGAATTTTAAAAGCAAAAGAACTGACTATAAACAATATAAGTTCTTAATTATTAGCGCAGTTTGTATTCACGGTTGCCACTTCTTCGAATTTCAGAAAATTTCGGTTTCTTTAAATCTCCTATTTTTCGGCAGATGAAAAAATCTCCAGTTAATCGTTTTTAATTTTGACGATCTTAATTTTTTTAAATGTTTGTTTCAATTTTCTTCGGTTTCGAAAAGAAATTTCCGGCAGAAGGATTAAATGTAATGACTTTTTTTAAAGAGAGGACTATAAGAAAGAACATTAATAACAATTTGAATTGTTTGAAGTGAGTGATCTCAGGTAGGAGAACCATCGATCTCCGGCGAAACACTTCTCGGAAAGTAACAACCGTATTTGTAATATATATACAAGTTAAACTTTTTTCTACGTTAATAAATCAAATGATTTTTTTTTTATTGTATTCTGTGTGCGGTGAAAAGCTGTGCGATGATTTATATACAAACTGCACAACCTGAGGATAAGTTAAAGTTACGATTCAGAAATATAATTTTGATACATGCGCTTACTCAATACAATTTATTTTAAGATAAAAATTTTTCGAAAATTTTGGAACAATTTGTTCAGCATACTATTGTCTTTTTATTACTCTGATATTATGCAAAGCATTTGGCATATCTGTATTTTGCGAAGATTTAGTACGTAGAAGTATCTAAAATTTACGGAATTTATCGCATCATTATCGGTTTCTTGTTCAAGATATCTAGCCGTAACTCAGCCGCTGATATACAGCCGTCGACGTAGAAGCAAACGTCTGGCTGGGTTGATGATCGTCGCGGTATGGATTATGGCCGGTGCAATAACGAGCCCGCCTTTATTAGGTTGTTTTCCACGTGCGACGAACCGGGACATCAAAAAGTGCTCCTACAATATGGATTCCTCCTATGTAATATTCTCGGCGATGGGCAGCTTCTTCCTACCTATGTTAGTAATGCTGTACGTATACGGCAGAATTTCATGCGTAATAGCAAGCAGACATAGAAATCTGGAAAAAACCAATGAGGGAGAGAATATCCGATCACGTAGTAAAATCACGGTAAGAATTGTTTTAGTTTTTACTATAGATATACGATGGTATTATTATATCTTCGATATATAACCTGTGATGTTATCTGTTATTTTTCTCATCTCATGTAATTTGCTTTTATTTGCTACTTATTTTACTATGTAATTTGATAGAATCTAATAACGTATTTATCTTGTGCTCGTTAAAATAAACAAGATTTTTTACTTAAAAAGATTTATCTTGAAAATTTTCAGACATTAATATTATTCAGAAGCTTAGTACAATTACGCTTGTCTCTTATATATTCTTTTTTGTACGCTTTATAATTATATAACATTGTCATCTATTTAAATGATTGAGCTGTTATAGGAGAAAAACTTTAATATGATTAATATGATTACATAGCACGTTTTTCTATGCTAAACAAATACCTGTGCATTAATCTTCTTAATGTTATGCTTTGTTTATTCGACCAGTAGATGATATTGTGAACAAATTATGACAGGAAGATATTAATGACTTGTTGTTAAAATACTCGATCAATATTCTAATTTACGATTTTATCTTATTAATAATAGATTATAAAAGCACTCTTAAAAATGTGTAACACCGAAATCTATATATAAACTCATAATAAAGAATTAAAAACTATATTTTCTTTATTTCTTCAAAAAACTCTCTTAGAAAATATTTTTTGTCAAGTAGGCAGAATATAATGTCCTTTTGTTTTTAAAAATGACATTCCAGTACGTATAGAGATAGAAAAGCGAAAATACAACGGGTAATCAAGAAAATTGTTTACAACAACAAAGCAGCAGTTAATGCAAATATTATAACAACCTCTATTCCGGGTTCAAAGCAAATGTATTTTTATTTGAAAGAAATAAAAACTTATTTTGCTTTTAATGTAAATTGTACCGTAATTCCAATGGATCTATCCATCAAAGATAACGAAACCGTTCTCGTAGTTTCACTGAAAAGAAGATTACTGAAACCAACGGCTCTCACCAGCGACGGTAAAATGGCACAGGCATTAATACTATGATGGAAGATACGGATTCTTCATAATCCACGTTATCGGACTTTATATAATCGATTATCAATCATTTTGCGCAATATGTCTTATTGGCTTAGTCGGATTTGATTTAATTACATAGCTGCACACAGAAATGTCATTTTAATACAAAATAAAAAAATTATGCAACAATTTTTTTGTCGTTCAATAATGAAATAACTTGCCAAAAATTATGCTAAAAGTATGCAACGTGGATTATATACTATCAAATATTAAAATTCATTACAATAACGCTCATATATTATAAAAATGTGGATTGTATAATTCTATTTATAATAAATATGATTTTTTACAAGATTTAAGTACATTAGTATTGACTTATAATGATGACATTATTTTATACTATGAAAGAATAAAAGTGGTTTAACAAATAATTTTTTCGGTTACAAGCAAAACGACACAAGTAGACATCGAACAATTTATTACGGTGGCAGAATAAGAAATATTTCGAAAGAATCAAAGAAAACAAATGCTTGCGGGAGTTTGTAAAAGATTTTCTCTAATACGTTTTTCATACGTTGGGGATATTAAAAATCCTAAAAAGTTACAAAAACCTATATTACAAAGCTCACTTTATAATTTAATTAGATAACTTTTCGCAACGTCATAAGCTTTCAAACTGTTACACTGTTTGAACTTGACAAGGCTTAAATTGATAAAGAATACTCTTAAATTGATTTAACAAATTTTTATTCTCAATATATCGCAATATCAATGCATAAAATATATGAAATTATTTTTCTACAGATTGATCGTGGCAGAAGCATCAAGACACAACGTACGAATTATATCGAGAGCGATATGACATGCGACAGGCCATCCGAGGATACCGAACTAACAAATATGTGCAAAAAGTTGAGTACAATTCGAGGTAATCAGCAAAGCTGCATTAACAGGGTCGCTAGGGAGACGAAAACTGCGGGCACTCTGGCGGTGGTTGTAGGTGGTTTCATCGCATGCTGGTTGCCGTTTTTCATTCTGTATCTGGTAACACCCTTCGTGCCCGTACAACCGCCGGATGTTCTCATGCCAGCCTTGACATGGCTAGGTAGGCACTTTTTCATACGATGTTCTCAAATATATATTTCCAAACATTTCTTTTAATATTTATGGATTGACAAATTTAGATTAACTGTAACGAATATCTGACTGAGTTGGTTTTAATAATTTTAAATAACAATTACGTTTTAAATTAAGATTATTTTAGATAAGTTAAAGTTAAATTGAACGAACAGCGATTTGTTACAATAAAGAATAGAAGTAAACAAGTTAATTAAACTCTGATGAATTTATTTATCTTATCTTTAATATCTGTAGCTTTGAATTTATTTTATTTCAATGTTTTTAGAATTATAATTACATAATGTATTATTATTAGATATTTTCACAAAGTTAAATAAAAAATTATTTTATGTGTTTAGGATGGATTAATTCAGCCATCAATCCGTTTATTTACGCTTTCTATTCGGCAGACTTCAGACTTGCCTTCTGGCGACTAACATGTAGGAAATGTTCGAAGAGTAGACTAAACTTGGATGGCACAAATCGGAAATTACCCGCTTCGGTTAACTGGAAGAAAGATACGTCGAGGACGTGAAGTTCCTCACAAAGTTTCGAACTTGTTCAATTATGTGGTGTCCGGTATTAGAATGACTGTGATTGAGTCAAATTTATTCGTAATTGCGGTCTATTAATAATGAATGACAGGAGAACTATGTATGTATGTTCTTAGTATGAACTTATAACCAATCAATCAGTTCTTATGCGCGATTTTATAAAATATAAATATTTCACTATGCACACGCACAATACTTTCGGATACGCGTAGTTATACTTTCGAGGTTTGCTTAAATAGTCATTCTCTTTATGTGCAATGTGTAAAATAATTGAACATTATATAGTTGTGTTAAATGCTATTAGCTTGGAATTATCAAGCTTAATTAAATTAAATTTAAAAAAATTTTACAAGCTTTTATATTTTTTTCAGTAAATTTTATCAAACAATAAATATATTACAATAATGTATATGCATTTTTTACATATGTATAATACAATTTCATTAAGGCAATATTAAAAGTATTTTAACATTATATGCAATAGCTTATGTATGTAAATTAACATAAACATTAATGGGCTAATGAGAGTCACAGCTGCGGTAGTTCGTGCGAG